GCACGTCGCCCATATTGTTAGGTTTGGAAAAGCCTCGCAAAGAACCACAATTACGTTAACTTTCTAGATTATCTTCATAACAGAACTTTTTGGTGCTCGAAACGTAGCAGAAGCAGCCTATACCGCGACTTTTGAAGCTGATGTTGCCATCTATCGTGTTGGGTGCCTGGCACAGCCATGCACGCCGCACGCGTTAACAACGCTATCGAGTGTAACAGCACCATCTCGTGACGCCGTGCGATATGCGCGAAACCGCCCAATTTGGTTCTTACAGAGGGGTTTGCACGACACGAGCAATCTACATGCGGGAGCGATCGACCATCTATCGAGTCGGTATTGCACGGGAACAGGTGGGAGGACGCGGTCGTGCAGAATTGAGATATGCGCAGATGCAGGCTAGCATGCGCCAACTCTAAACGGGCTATTGAGATCAGCATGTCTGGTGGTCGATGGGATGTAGTGACTGCGGGAGCAGCGGTTCGCCTTTTTACCCCACATTCATCCATCGCCTGCACTCGTTGGGGAAGGTGTCAGGAACGTCATTTCCTTTGTTCTCCACAATCTCATTGTATCCGCCCTTACCCATCTAATCATCCCTCCACCAATCCACCCTTTTCCTTCACCAGAAAAAAAGTAAATATCGTAATCGCGACAATCATGGGTGACGCGCCAGTTACCCCACCATCGTCATCGCCGGCGCAGGCCCCGCCACCGCAGCCTCAAATCATAACATCGGATATCACACTTCAGGCGCCGCTTTCGAGGCAAGGGAAGGGGCCTGGATTGGTTCTTGTGTTGAACCATTATGCGGCGAGGGAGGCGAAGGAGGGGTGTTTAGATCCGCCGCCGTTGAAGAAGTGGGCGGAGGAGGGGTTCGCGGTCGTGCAGGTATGTCGTAGTGTCTTGGTGGAGTGATCATGCGACTGGGAGGATGGGAGATTCTACGTAATGATTGGCAGGAAAGGTGGTGGCTCGATCTCAATGCTGATCACCAATAGTTACTGGTACCGGGCAAGGTCGACGGCGAATTTCCTCTCCAAAAAGCGCTGGACGTATTGAAGAGTTGTGAACAATGCGAGTTCGGCAACGGTGTCGGACTGATATGTGCGTCGACTCCCGCTCGGATGGCGTACGGTCATTTTAGTAGTATACTGACGATCAATTCCAGCATACTTATCCAGGATTCCCTACTATCTCGAAGAAGCTGCCTGTCAGAACCCTGCGATCAAGGCCCTCATCTCTTACGGCGGCAAAAGCCTTTCCACACTAAGCTCGACAGCACTGCCACCGCAACTAATACACGTCGCGGGGCTACCAGACCATCATCGCCGCGAATCATGTTCATTAGTAACTGGATCATCCTCGGAGAACGCAGTGCCACTTCCGGAGAACATTATCAAGACATACCGGTACGAGGATGCGACAAAAGATTCTGAATGGGTGCTTCCAAGCGACGAGCACTACCACAAGCGAAGCGCGGGCATTGCGCATACGAGGAGTCTGACTTTCTTGAAGCCGCTGCTCGGCGGCCCTTTCTTCGATCTGGAGGCTGTCTGGGAAGAGCACACCAAGTTCGAGTTCGGCGAGAGGGATGTGGAGAAGACGATGGCTACGATGGTGGATCAGCCATATGTCAACCACATTCCGACTATGACGTACGTATCCCTTAACCACCATCCTCCAATATCCGCATTGCAGGTGTATACTGACCACCCATCAGCGGAGGCGTAGGTCAAGATCGACTGACAGCGTTCTACACGCACCACTTCGTCTTCAGCAATCCGCCCGACACGGCCCTCGCCCTCGTCTCCCGGACCGTAGGCATCGACCGTGTAATCGACGAGTTCATTTTCACGCTCACCCATACCAAAGAAGTTCCCTGGCTATTGCCTGGTATTCCTCCCACCGGGAAGCCACTTGCCATACCTTTCACCAGTGTCGTTGCTATGCGCGGTGATCGACTGTGTCATGAACACATCAGCTGGGACCATGCGACGGCGCTGAAACAACTGGGTCTGCTTCCAGAGTATGTGCCTTTCCCGTACGATATCGAGGGCGCCGCGCCGCCGGAGAGGAAAAGATTCGAGGTGAGACTGCCAGTTGTGGACATGGAGGGGAGTAGGAAGTTGGTGGATGAAAGCTGTGAGGAGAGTAATGCGTTGATGAGTGGACGGTGGCGGATGGTCGACGATGTGTGATGGCAGCGAGGTTGTACGAACGCCGCCTAATCTCTAAGGGACATATCGGAGGTACGTATATATGATAACATACAGGCCTACGGTTTCGCGAAAACATTGCCTCACGCGTTTGCGCCACTCCAATGTTATGAGTCATGACCCTCCACCGTGTACATATCATCGACTGCAACGTTCTCATACGGCTATGACGCATCTCAAAACAGCAGACCCATGTATTAGGAGCCATTCTCACCTTGTTTAAGCAGATGTAGCAACCTGGAGTCGTTGAGCCAGCCTAGTCTCTCGACGCATGATGCGACTTCGCCGTCTTGTGCCGCCTTTACAACGAATCGACTGCCGCCCTCTATCGGCGCTCCAGGATCTTAGAGTGGGTTCTTGATCCCCAACCTGGACAGCGGCGGCGATAGGAATTCGTTCGGACTGGAGAGATTACACCGGAATCTTGCATGGCCTGACTCAGAAGCCACTCTTTGTAGACATCGCACCTAGCGCATGGCCCGAGCTTCTTCCGCCCATTTACTAGATCTTCCCGCCTTTCTCGACTCTCCTTCTTCCACTGATACCCACTCCGCCGCTGCTACGCAGACGCTACCTGTATCCCATTGTCTCTTACATGAAATCACGCCGCTGAAACAACACGACCCAGCTATGGCAATGCATCCACGCATGGGGCCTCACACTTCTCGCTATGACGGTGCGTAATTCCCCTCCTGTTTGTAATGCCAACATATCAAGCACTGTTGCGACACTCCCGATCGCCTCTCCATCTTCTCAGACATCATCGACACCAGGGAATGAGTCAGGTCGGCTGAACCCCTGCTTCGTGGCTCGCCTTGGTGGCATCCGACCGCGTCCAGCGTGCGGTGGTGCAGTGTGCGGGCAAGTCAAGTGGTCGGCTCCACTTCACTCACACTTCGCATGAGCAGGAGAATGCACGTATATCGAGCGTGCAGGACCCTAGCCGACGACAATATGAGAGCGGCTGGTCCGACGATAATGCACCGTCGATGAGACTGGGCACCCTGATTCGGGACGCCTGCGGATGTGTACTGAAAACTCGATGAGCTGGACTCGTCGCGTGGATGGCAGTTCGACAATATGCCCCGGCGCATCACGTCTTACCCGTCGGTCAGGTGGGCAGGATCGAGCAGACTCTTTTGCTTTGTTCTGCTGGGTGTTCAGACCTCGCGGGTACATGTTCGCCCGAGGTCCCTCCCCAGCCCAGACCCTCATTACTGTGTCATATGAGAAGATATCTTTTTCATTGAGTCTTCACCAGCTTCTGGTGTGGCTTGAGGAAGAAAGCAACGTTTTGCGACCTCCTATACCTGGACAATCCTGCCCACCTGTCCCCATCTGACCGCTCCACTATTCCTACTAGACATGATTGCACGTGTGCATGAGCCCAAGATCAACTCAACAGGATAACAAAGTATACTGGAAATTCTATGAGATATCCGGGAGGTCATCAGTGATCTGGAGAGATCCAAACGCCGCGGTGAAGCAGCCGCTGCCAGCCTACATGTCTAGCTCAGATTGCTTTCGAACATGTCTCAGTGGTGCGACGTTCCATGATCCTTTCTTTCGTGTGACTCTGCCCGGCGCTTGTATTGTTCCCATGGATTTTCTCTGGCGCAACCAATGAGAGGGCGTCACGCGCAATATCCGCGCTCACCTCTTCACCTTCACCTCTGCCGTCAGTGACATTATACCGGCCAGAGGCTGGGGCGCTTTAACGCATGGCCCAAGTAACCCCAACTTATCTAATTGGCCGCCTATCTCTCTTCCTTCTTCCTCCGACACCCAACCGCGACACTCGACGCCGGCTCAACTTTGGAGCGCGCGTCCGTCCATTGAGCCTCCCATCTTCTTTGGTTGGGATGGCGCTTGACCACTGTGAGTCACTCTCCCTTCCTCCTGTAATGTTAACACATCAAGCACCGACGCTGCGACCTTCCCATCGCCTCTTCCGTCATCCCAGACAACGTTCACATTAGGAATGAGTCCGGTTGCCTGAACCCCAGCCTCCGGCTCGCCGAAGTGGCATCCAGTCACGTCCAGCGTGCGAGCGATGTAGTGTGCGGGAAAGGCAAGTGGCTGGTCCGCTTTGCTCACACTTGGACGACCAGGACGCGTACGCATATCGAGTGTACGTTTACTGGCGACGACATTGTCGGTACGGCTGGCCCGTCTTCGATGCACCGTCGGTGAGACTACGGCAACTCTTCGCGGGGCAGAAATCCCGGTAAAGCAGATGAGCTGGATCTCGTTTGTGGTCTGCAAGATGGTGAAGCGCCCCGGAGCGTGGACCCTGATTAGCACTTAGAGAAGGTGGAATCACAGGGGGGGTCTCTCTGTCCACTGGGTGTCATACTGCGAATGAGGCTGGTTCCTCTTCTCGGTCACTCCCCAGCCATGATTTTCATGATTGTGTCCTTTGGGATGCGTTTCGTTACGGTTTTGATGTCATTATCGAATGGCAAGTCCGCTCACGATGTATCGCCGTGCGAAACTACTTTTTTCATTGAGTCTCCACCATATACTGGTGTTGCTTGAGGAAGAAAGCGACCTGTCACGGCGGACGCCCAAGGCAGATGTTAAGGACTAATGCATGTAAGTCCCTGTCGGCCTCGCGCAGGGTCAGAACACCACCTCGTAGTCCTCAAGCTGATGTCTCTCCTTGGCAAGATCGAGCAACAGCATGTATATATAGTCGTTGGGCACTTACTTGCCGCCGCGTGCGTGGGCATTTAATCTCACCAGTTCACATACCAAGAGAGAGACAAGCATACATGCTCGGCTTTACATCAAAAACACTCTTCTCGCGACCTTCATAACGGGGCGCATCAGTCTTTTCAAAAGACTCGGCGTGGCCTTGCCAGTCAAGAACCAATCGTACACCATTGCCCAGGCTTCATTTCCACCAGTATCAATGATGTCTCCATGACAGGGTATAATGCGCTCGATCTGCCATTCCGCTACCTTCTTCGCGTCGCGTCGCATCAAGGTGTAGTCAACGGTCGCAACGTGGTAGACGAGGCGCTTCGCCCATATCGATCGAGGATGTGCACGCTTTGCGAATTCGCGCGACAGTGGACCGTGGTGCGACGAGCTAGGATGGTATTGCTGGCATAAGGTCAGCGTTTGATGTCGCATACGCGCCCAGTGATTGCGCAACATACCTCGGTGCATGGTAGGTTCATCATCAGGTCCGACTGTATCAGCGTCTTCGTAGACTTGTGATACCAAGCGACACAGTATGTGATAAAACCCTCGAATAGCACCGTCTCGAAGTCCTGCGCAAAGTCAAACTGATCTTCCGGGCTTGTGTGCCAGTCCTCGTAGATGTAGTCCCACCCCACATCTTTCCTCTTGCTTTCCAGACCTGGGACGCCGATTGTCTTTGCCTCTGGCCACGCATCGATATAGTCCTTCACGTACATGTGATGCCCAAGATCACACGCCACGAGATGAACGCCCCCAAGTTCATTCAGCTTATCGCGCACCGCTTGTTCGAGCGGGATGGGGTTGAGAAGGAGGATTCGGTTGTCGTGCAATCGGATGGCTGTTGCCCGATTGCCTACTGCGACAAATTTGCGGTAGCCGAATGGCGCGAAGCGGTTGAACGGGGTGGAGAAGGTCGTGATGGCGGGCGTGACGTCGCGGATGGTGAGCCCAGCGGAGGGCATACTCGCGTCGAGGTGTGTTCGGTTTGAAGCTGTCTGAGCCTTATATCGATAGTATCTCGGCGTTATCGATGATTATGGGTTAAGTATGCGAAGATATCGTCTAGACGCGACGCGCGTGAGGGAAGTTTGGATATGATGTCGTCATGACGCTGTTCGCTGCGATCAGGGATGGGGAAATCGGGTCGCAAGACGCTCACATTGAAGCTACATTCTAGAGGCAATGCTGCGCAATGTGGGTAGCAGTATACATTACCTGGTCCACGTTTTACTGGGTTGAAGTCTGCGTATGTATGCAGTAGACGACTGGACATCGGACATTCCCGTGATCTAGAGGTGGATGTATCCACCTACGGCTAAATGCTGTCATCGTGTCCAAGGACCGCAGGCCTATACCTTATCACCTTCGCACGCCATCAGACAACAAGAGTGCGATGGCCATGACCTGCGATCCCGACTGTTAGCTCGAGCTTGGGCTTTGGCGCTCGCGAGCTCCACGAGGCAATCGCATTCATTGGCGTCTTGTTAATGCAGCAGTGAAAGCGTATAAGTCATCTACTGCCAGCTTGCGAGTGCACATGACGTGTCGCGACGGGATTACCACGCGTTGAGGAATGGACAGTCGTGATGCGCGTGTAGGGAGGGCTGGCGCGCGGCATCGGCGCCGCTTGCTGCCCGGCCCGAAACCCGGCCGATCGCTGCGCTTCTCCGCAACCCCAACAACATCGCACCGCATTCCACCATCATGGTATGCTCTCATCAGCGCATTTAGCTCGCAATCAGCGTTCCCAACGATTGATGCAGTCCGCTAAGGTCGCTTGCGTAAGCAAGCGATTGTAGCAGCAGTAACCCGCAGTACGCATGGCGCATCACACTCACGTACGTCAATGGTTTGACGTGCTGGTAGGTTCCAGGGTTTGTCGCATGATTGCGATATGAAGAGCCGACGCAAGAGGCACTGGAGTGCCGCGAATCTGCTACCCTGTTTTAATTCCCGGGAGTATAGAATTTGAGGGTACTGTTTTTACCAGACGTTGTTCCTTTAGTCATGTAGACAGTATATACGCCCCATGGAACCCACGCTCGTCACAATGATACGAATACCTGCACGGAACGGTGTATCCTTGATTTCAGACACGCCCAATACATCTTCTGTAGAAACGTGATGTAAGCGACTGACCTTTATGTATTCGATTGCTTTCGACAAGGGAGTCCGGTGGTGAAAGCCTGCGTTGACTGCGCAAAGTGAACGAAAGAATATAGCACACAATGCGGGCTCACCGAGACTTTTCACCAACGATCGACAGAGGTCGGTCCTACTGCTACAGTAGTATATTAATATTCCGATTTGGACCTGAGAGAACGCGACCCCTTCCTTACACACCGCCGACAAGAACTTCAACTAAGATCCCATCACTGCAACATGGCGCCACTACAAGCAATGTACGTTTCTTATCCCCACGAACGATTCTAATCAGCTAACGAGTATGCAGTACCGAATGCAACCTGTTAAATCCTTCTTGTTCTTCTTGTTCTTCTCATTCTTGTTCTTCTTCTCTTCTTAACGAAGATAGAATCGTCTTTGGTTAGAGTATAAAGAAACTATTAGCCTGCTAGCTAGGCCCCTCTAGTGGCTCTGCTAAGGGCTCCTCTAGAGGCTCTTCTAAGGGGCTCTGCGAGGCTGCTATATATCGCTTCTGTCTTGTGTTAGTGGTAACGCGTCGCATTGCGATCGCATAGGCGGGGCTGCTTTAGTGTTTTGATATTTCGATGTTTCTCGCCAAGCTCGGCGCTGCAACCTGACGCGGCGTGTTGCGTTTACCTTCCGAAGTAGGCTGTGAAACGCTAACCTCTGTGATGAGGTCAGCACGTTCAGCTAATAGAAGGACAGCTTTGATCAGCTAATCTAAGCGTCCGCTCTCGGCCCATACGTTCTGAGACAAATAGTCCCGCTTCGTAGAGCAATAAGAAGAAGATCAAGTAGTTAGTTAGTTAATTGATTGAGTCTATCGTAGCGAGCGAATATATATTCTCTAGTTACATAATAAGTGATAAAACGCGCTACTCTAGAGTACGCGTAGATGCTAACAAAGACAGCTAAAAAGTCTTGAAGGTTCCACCGAGAGTTCCCCACTTTCCAGACCACTTGTTGTCTGTGTAGTACTGCTGGTAAACTGCATTGTCCGTTCCGATACCAAAGACGTCGATGCGTCCTTTGCCCCAGCAAACCGCGGCTGGGGCGCTCTTGAACGTACCAGTCATGCCCCTCCAGTCAGCAAGCCACTTACCACCGTCAAATGCTCGGTGGTACATCTGGTCGTCTGTACCGACGCCAAAAACGTCAAGCCGGCCTGGACCCCATGAGACAGCCGAGGGGACGCTCTTGAACTTGCCAGTGATGCCCTTCCACTCCTTCGACTGCCAACCGTTTCCCTCGTATACTTTGTGGTACATCTGATCGTCAAGGCCGATGCCAAAGACATCCATCCTGCCGGAGCCCCATGATACGGCGACTGGCTGGCTCTTGAATTTGCCAGTCATTCCCTGCCAGTCAGCCAGCCATTTCCCATTGTCGAATGCCCTGTGCCACATCTGGTCATCGAGCCCGATTCCGAAAACGTCAATCCGGCCTGGGCCCCATGAGACAACGGCGGGGGCGCTCTTGAACTTGCCGCCGCATCCCTCCCAGCCAGCTGGGGTCCACTTGTCTCCATAAGCCCTGCGCCACATCTGATCATCCATACCGACGCCAAAGAAGTCGATCCGTCCATTGCCCCAAGTGACAGGGATCGCTGCGCACTTAAGCTGACCATCAAGAGGCTGCCAGTTGCTGACAATCCAAGAGCCTCCTGCCTTTCTGTTCTTCCCATAGGCCTTGTGGACCGGTTGGTTGTCGAGTCCAATGCCGAAGATGTCAAGGCGGCCATAACCCCAGGAAATAGCTGTGGGGATCTGCTTGAACTTGCCACCGATTGCTTCCCACGAAGTGCCAGATGGCTGCCAGCTGCCGTCACCCCTGTCGAAGCTCTTGCGCCACATCTGATCGTCAGAGCCGATCCCGACAAGGTCGAGGCGATCCGGGCCCCAGGACTCTACGGAGATCCAGGGCTTCATTGCAATGGTCATGGAGCTCATGTTGGATGTTTGTTCAAGTTCTGCGTAGTATTAGCTATCATGTCGACTGATATAGAGGAGATAATGACTTGTAAGTGGTGTAAGAAGAGTGGATAGGTAGTGTTGCTACGAGGCTGGGTGAACTTGGCCGTCTTGTTGTCTTTCTAGAGTTGTCAACATGGAAGTATTTATATATTCCCAGAGATCTATCGAGGACGTAGAAACGCCTTTCTCAATGTTAGTCGTAGTCCGTATTGCCGACTTCGGCTTTGACAAAGGCGGAGTGTACGATATTCATCTATGTGATCTGCAAGAATAAGACAGGATTCCGTTAGCGGCGACTAGTAGCGGTGAGAGCAGACGATGAAAAGAAAAAATGTGTACATGTGCATGTCGCTATTCTACTCTGTGGGTGTGTTGATGCAATGACACTGTAGTTGAGAATTAGCCTGTAAGCCTCTCATTCGAAACACAACAAATTGCAAGGCTCTATCGCTCGCCTTTCTATAACATTAGAGAACTGATTTTTTTTTCGTTCATCTGTTCGGTTCTCGTCCTCGATACTGATCGTCGACAAGTTCGCTCAGCAGTCGTAGCAAGCATACTAATCTACTGAACATTCATGTTACTATTCAGCCATCCAGATAGCTGCATCAAATCTTTCAGAAGGGGCCGATGCGACACCGTTGCGCGCATGCAAAACTGCTGAGGGGTGGATCGCAACACCACCAAGTTATCCATCTGGCTATTACTCCTATCAGGGAGGAGCTCCTGGATGCATGCGTGGTAGCGAAGAATGCCCGAGTCGACTCACCCCATGCGACGACACCAATGCCTCCATGTGAAGACAGCCCCAGCATTGCTTTTAACATATAGATTATGCTCACTACATTAGCAAGTTCACTTCGCATTTAGGCCACAGCTGGTTCAAACCTGATCTAGACAATGGGCAGGGGCTAGAGGCTAATCGGACCGAATGGAGCCGCTAGGGCCGGCCCGCATTGGTTCACGGGATTTGGCGCAATATCGGGATGCTGCATGGTTTTGCATGCAGTACACCGATGTTTGAAGACTCAAAAGCTTGGAGGAGCGTCTCATGCACGTCCAAGAGTCGAATAATAGTCCATCGTATCAAAACGCTCCAGCTTTCCAAGGTCATCGGCAGTCTGGGACTGATCCTGAAAACAAAAAGAAATGATCCAGCACCATCCATGACTGAGCTGGCAACACACCTCCTGCATAGGTAATGCATTCGAGTCTCCGAATACTTAGTCTCTATACGTAGGAAGCCTAGCAAAAGGTCTATTGTAATCACGTGTAAGAGTTTCACATGTCAACTACCCGGGTAGCTATTAATCTAGTACAGTTCCAGCATTATCATGAGCGAGAGGCAATTTGCGACGATAGGGATAGTAAGGCCTGTTCTAAAGGCAGTGATATGCACGGAAACAGTTCTGTAAGAGGCTACGTGACGTGTCCCGCAGTGTTGTGCATCATACATACATTAGCGCCTCCAGCCACAATAAGGACCTCGGAGGCATAATCATCACGCACACATCTACACGGACGAGTTAGCAAACGGTAATGACGGAGTGTAGCTGGCATTCAAGGCCTATGTAGAAACCTAATCACTGTAGATCCGTTGGCTTGAACCTCGTCGTACGCCCTTAGTGAGCCTCCTTACCGTAGTCTAGGCCGGCCTGTATCTTGGCGCGCTCCTCGTCCGACAGGGCGGGGTTGTCCGAGGGCGTGGCGTGGGCATACCGCTGGAAGTTCCAGCCGGGCGGCCAGTAGGTGCTGGCGGCGTCGGTATAGGAGGTGAATAAGCCGGACGGTTTCGACATGGCTCTGGGTCGAAGGCGGGGTGAATAAGGTAAGTAGTGAGTTGGTAGGGTGTATGAAGGCGATGTTGATTGAGTGCGGGGACCAGGGGTGTAAACGGGTATTTAGTACCCAAAGTCTCCGGGGATGTGGCTTATTTAGGGAGATAATTTAGTGATACGGCACATTCCAGCGCTCGGTATGCACAGCGTAAGCGGGTGCCTTTTTTCTGAAGCGGGGGACATCCATCATACTTACAGTGACTGTAGGCAGTCTATACCTTGATGGTGTTAGTGCTGAAGTCTGCCATCAAGCGTCTCTTTTATGGATGATATCCACCAGGTCGCGAGATACGGGCCACCTGATAAGTGGTAGTCAAGTAGAGCTCTAGCGAGCTCTGGAGAACATGAAAGTCAGCAACAAGATAGGTAGGGCCATAGCAGAGTGATTAGGTCAACGATCACAGAGCTCTGCTTCGTGTCTGTCGACAAATATATAACGAAGCCCGCCTCTTACCGTGGTCACTTAGTGACTTCCAATGTGAGACGAAAGATGATCTTCGCAATTGGCTCACCAACTTTCCGAAGGAATGTCGCTGGGCCATCACGACCATCACCCTGTTTGCGTCTTCTGTCGATCGTGCAGGCTTGACGATGTCATTGTTCTTACCAAGAGGGATAATCGGCTTCCAAGACTTTCCTGGTCTTAGCACACTCGATAGGCATTTCTTCGTCCACGCAGAAAAGGACTACCATTATTACTCGGAGCTAGACGATGGGCCTCAAAGCCAATCTACCGAGGAGAAGGTGCGAGTGGTATTCGCTCAGCCGTATACACCAGAAGAAGAACGTCAGCGGCGAGCTTTTTTGTTGGCGGCCTTTAGACAGCTGTAGAATAGTGTTCGGTATCCAGGGTATTGTATCATACCTCTTTCCCCAGACCCACAAGTTCATGTATACAGCGGGCATACCTCACTATCACAGTCAAATCGAAATGAATATCGGCTTTGTGATGTATTTTGATTACTTTTCCAACATTCAGATCTTGAACGCCTACGCAATAGGCGCGTAGAAGCTGAACTTCCCCTTTGGATCATACTTCTTTTTGAGCGCTTTTAGCTTCTTCTGCCTCCAGCTCTCGTGACCATACCAGGCCTCCGGTCCCTCATTACCATACGCATAGTTTACATAGGTGTGTAGCTCACTAGACCCTGTGCCCTCGCGAATGATCTCACGAAGCTGCGTGCCGAGCTCCTTGACGGCTTCGTCTTGCGCCTGTCCAGTGGAATTATATATGATCAGAGGTGCAGCGAGGGTGTGCGCATCGCGGAAGCCGAACGCACTAGCATCGTTGCTGCGGTCGCGCACAGCACCACTGGCGTAGTCCTCAAACATGAAAATGGAGTTGAAGTATGGGTTGTCGGCTCCGGCAACGGCGGAGGAGTAGATATCCCAGGCTTTGCGCTGCGCGGTGACATTGTAAGACTTGATATAGATCGGGAAGCGCGGGTTATTGAAGCCGAAGTCCTGGCATGGAGGTGATTCGAGCGCGATGCCTGTCCACTTTGCGAGATCTTTGTAGGTGCCGGACTGAGGTGTGGCGGCGAGAGGACCGATGGCGTGGAAGGGCGCGGTGTACTTGGCATCGACGGTGGTAACACCCTCTTGGACGATGTAGATGATGATAACCGGCTAAGTATATGTTAGCGACTGTGCTACAATTGGAAACGCTCATATCTTACCCCCTCGGTATCGTGTCTTGCATCATTCTGCCAGTACGTCCAGTCATGTATATTAGCGGACTGCTTTCCACCTTGAAGAATGTACTTGTTGGCCGCCTCGTAGACCTGCTCGACTTTGTCACCACTGAAGACAATCGTCTCAATAGCCCAGTCGTAGTGCTCGATTTCGTAAACCTTGGTAGTGACGGATGTAACGACACCGAAGTTGTGGCCAGCCCCTTGCATACCCCACCACAAGTCGGATTTGCTGTCGATCGTTTTCAAGTCTCCGTTTGCTAGCACGATATTCATGGAAAGGAACTGGTCGGTGATCAGACCATAATGGCCCTGGAACCATCCGTGACCGCCACCGAGGGCTGGTCCCAAGTAGCTGACGCATTCGCAGCAGCCAGTGACTAAGTGGTGTTAGAGCAGTCCAAGTCTATTATGAAGTTGGAAAACTTACCAGTCTGCTTCCCAGCCTCCCACAGAGTGTCTGTCAGGTTCTTCACGTTGGCTCCACCACCGATAGTTGCCGACTTTCCGTCTTTCGCAATTGAGATTGAGTCCAACTGCGGCAGATAGATCTCGATGCCATAATCCATCTTGCCCAAGGTCGTAAGCGTTCCATGGTGGCCGTTATAGGTGAGGAACGGAATGTTGTGATCATTCGCAAACTTGACCTAACGTGAACGTATCAGCTGTTGTTGCTTGTCTCTCACGTATTACCGCCTACGGAAGAACTTACGATCTTCTGGACATCCTTCTCCGTACCTGGAGCGATTACAATACTCGGCGTAGGAGCCTGTAGATTGGACCATCGGGTGGTGTAAGTAGCAAACTCCTTCGTATCGGGGAGGTAAATCTTCGCGGTGGCAGAGAGATACGGTGCTAATGACTTCACGTCGATACCTGCTGCGGGTGTTCTGGCGAAGAGGTCAAATGGCGAGGTAGGCGTTCCCGACGCAGTGGTAAGAAACAAGCTTGCGATAGCCAACGGTGCCAGAATTCTTGCAAACATGATGCCAGTGGGGAGGTGTCAAGCAGGATGCGAGACACGGCCGTGAGTTACCAACATCCTGGAATGTGGCTTCAAAGCATCTCAAATACGAGAAGACATCTGCCCTGTCGGCTAAAAGCATCATGCTCCATGTCACATGAGGAAGACCTCCGGGCCGCCATGCAGCATGCCTATCGTCAGGGTCCAGACGACGTGAAGGCGGGATAACATGCATCGAAGGATTTAGCTCGGTCACACAATCGGTGCTAATCTGATCCTACGATGATCTTGTCTTCGCTACGACTTGTGCACTTGCACGTTATCGAGGTTTGTGGGTCTCAGGCATCACCGCGATTGGCTCGGGGCTCGGACAAGATGCCGCGAGCCGCACCGTTGCCCTGGCCCGCCCAGACGCCAACAGCCGTTTCCTGTGCGCTAGCGGAGGTGCATTTTCACATCCTTCCCTGCTGAAAGGCTTGAACCCTCGTACTGTACAGATTCATCGAAGGCATGTGTGCCAACCTCTATCCTGCCAACCACACTGCCAAATGCTGCATGCGCAATGCTGCCGTTGTTGCGCGCATCTTGCCTGCGGCTGAGCCACGGACGTGACCATTGAAGACACTGATCTCTTCAGCCATGCGAACATCCAAGCGTGATATAGCAAGCCAATAAAGACGGCAACAAAAAGGTTGCTCGTGTTCGGCGCGATTCTGAGCTTCAGTCGGGGAGCCAAGAACTGCGCCGCTTTGTGCCTTCCACTCTCTGCAAAGTATCGGATGGCGCACTCAGATTGGGTGCCAATGTGACTTCGGGCCGATGTGATGTGATTACACGGGGTATCTGTTGGCTGAAATTCTATCGAGTTAGGCTACGCCATGAACCTCTCGGATACAGATTCAGTTCCATCCGTTTTGTTCTGGATCTGTAATTATACCGACCGACCCAGAGTTCGAGAGTGATGGATCAGACTTGAATCGATCATCCAACACCATCGTTGCTGAATACGCCATGGGCATCGTGGAGCTGTGGACCCTCTATGCACTCGCTGTCTCCTTCACGTGTCTGCGAACATACGCCAGGATTACCGCCGTGGGTCTCCGCGAGCTACAAGTAGATGACTACCTAGTATGGATTGCTATCTTGGGTAGCAACGAATGCTTTGCTTCATACGTTTGCTTCTGCTAACGAACCCTTTGCCAGCTAATCTACACCGCCCAATGCAGCCTCGATACAGCCTAGGAGTGCACGTACACGGTCTCGCAAATGATGGCATGACGCCGAAAGAGCGCGCTGCGCTGACGCAAGACGACCCCGAGTATAGATTGAGGTATACATGAAGCTAAACCCTGACGCGCAACGAACACGAGAGTGGCCTACGGCGCACACGTAGCTTACAGGGCTTCAGAGTCATTGGATCCAAGATTCAGGTAGCTGGCTGGACCACCGCTGCCTGCCTACTTTGATCTCTCAAGCTATATGTAGCTCTGTCTCCTTGACTCCTAGTCTTTGTCATGCGTTCGTCATATCCAGTCTCACTTCCGTTTCCTCAGACTAATTGTTTCCTCAGCCGTTCCGAACCCAAACCTCCCCTCGAATCCCGGTACGTCTGCGCCTACCAGTTCACCGTACCGTACCTTGAGACTCCTTAGCTCCGCCGGCAGCTTGTCCAGCTTCGTCAAGTGTTGTCGCAATACCAGCCGTTCCATCTCAGTGTTACCCCTCGTGGTCGTCATGATTTGGAGGAAGCCGCCATCCGCCGCGGGTGTACCATTCCGTGATAGTGAGTATATTGCTATACCAGCGAAGATACTAGCGGCAAGAAAGCAGATGCTGTACGGAAGAATAAGGTTGAGCGGGTTGGCGAAAGAATACGTGCTCTGATAGCGGGTGATGGTTACGGGGAGTACTTCATGCCATGTCCCTAAAGATATAGCGGAAAGAGTGATGTTTGTGAGCACATCGTTGAGAAGCGCCTCTGTGATGTTCAGCTCCTTTCTCGCATCGTAGCAGAGGTCTCGTGACTCTGGATCAAAGCGAGCGGGCTGGAAGACGGTTCCTTGGAGTGGAGTATTGGAAGAAGGAGGATTTAGCGGACACCCATCAGAGAGTGTATTCCAATCTCCGCATTCCTTTGTTGCAGTCTTATTATGTTGAGCGGTAAGCTGACAGTTAGGTGGGTAACGGCCTGCCCATTCTAAAGTGCTATCCCCTTCGAGCAAGCTACCGAGCGCATCCAATATTGCCCATTCATTGAACACTGGAAGCGCATCTAGCACCTTCGTGTTCCAATCTCGAGCTGCCTGGGGATCGGCGGGAATTGTGAGGCTTAGTGCTGAGGATGTAAGCCGCCCTGGCAAGAATTCATCATAGTCAGCATCAAACCACTTCTCCCGCATATCTTCTTCGTCGCTTAAGTGATACTCTAGCTTTTGAACTCCGCGCGGAAAGGTCATGTTGACATCGTACAAGACAGACTTGGAAATGCAAGCCTGCTCGGTCGTCTCAACGTGAGCTTTATAATCCGTGGCGTTTTGATCACTACGCGAGATCGAATAACTGCTGATGTTGTGCTGTTGGACAAAGAGAGATAGCGAGTAGGTCTGCCACTTTACAACAAAGACAGCACCCCTCAGATCCGTAGCTGGCTCCGATGCATATAGCGAGATATAGTTGCCGTACTGCGATGAACTGCATCGCAACTGCGGTCCTCGAAATTGGAGCTTATACGTTGAATTCTCACCTGGATGCTCAGGTAAATTAAACACATGATTGTCGATCATGATAGATTGCGCGATGCTACGCAGGGCCGGATTTGGTCCGCTGTCTTGCTTAGTACTAAGACATCCATAGACTTCTTGCTAAGCTACTTACTTGTATGTGAGCGAGTGTATAGCTGGTGAGTCCTCTACAGTCTTGTTCTCATAAGTATAAGAGTGAGCCAAAGTCTCTTCCAATCCGATGTTAGCCAATGTGGGAAAGGTCGCATCTGCCGTGAAGTTTAGGTCGCGAGGAATTGGAGGATTCATCACAGCTATGTTGAGCTCCTTAGTAAATGTGTAGGGTTCAATCGCAACAATCAGCGCTCCTGGAGGATAAATTGTCGCCAGTCCCAGACACCATACGGAAAGCGCCATCACGATCAGTGTGGGTGATCTCCATGTGCTTCGGAAGTCGCAAATTGCAAATATATTGGTGCGAAGTATGAACATTTTCTCAACCGTGTCAATTGGTATTGGGTTCCCGCGAAGAACGAGCCACAAATGCTGCGCGAAGGAGGTTCCAATGCTTGCCGTCAAGGCAGCCTTGAAGATGGTTGTCAGAAGGATCGAGACCGCGGAGACCTGCGGCTGTGTAAGATAGCTCGTCTCAGTGAGCTGGTGATCCAGATTATGGAATAGGAAGTAATGCCCCAAAGCGGACAAAAGCGCTACACCAGTTTAACTCTGTTCAATCTTGTGCATACGACTACGTACCCGCGAAGTTGAAGCCTATGATCATCCCTGTTGTTTTCCAGTGCGTTGTGCGTCGAAAGGGATCAAAGCGCCGGTTGTTTTCCTGTCCTAAGCTGGCCGGGTTCGATGACGTTGACACCGAGGAGAGAGAAGGTTGCATTTCGCTCTCGTCGTCGGGATTTCCCACATTTTCAGGCAGATCTTGCTCTTGTGCATCGAGATAGTTATGCGGTTGAACTGAAGAGTCTGGCGTCGCTGCCTGATGCAAAGGGCTGATGTTGCCGTGTACAGAGGTCGAGTTGGCTCTTGATATCGTTCGCAGACTAATCTCGTCGGAGATAGGTGCCATGGTAGAGAGTTAGACGCAGAGTGAGATCGAAGCTCATCGAAAGGTAAAATTCGAAAGCTGTGTCTTTATTTCGAACAAAACATCAACTTCAGGTGCTGCAAGAAGCCGCAAGGCTGAGTTTGCGACGAAGGGTCGGAATGACGCGTACGTGAGGCGCGGAGACCGGTCAACCTTCAACACCCCAATCGGCCTGACAGACTGTTATCGAATATATAGTGTAGTGTCAGACTACGCCTCGCTGACCTTGAAATGGGGCGAACATCGGCAAATATCCCATACGCGCGGATGATACTGGAACCCATTGTGTGGGGGCGTACTACTGCTTCGGCACCAGGAAAATACAGGCGGTACTACCTTCGCAGCGACGCATTGCTTACATTGATGCGCAGCGTCGGCTGACCTGTTGTCGAGTGGTTGCCACGATCGCCAAAGTTGTTGTAAGCGCCGGACGTTGCCACCCCCCGGCTCGGTACTCGCACACCCTCGAAGATCCCGCAAGCCGGGCCGTTAACCTGCGCGCCTGCCACCCTGTATCTGGTAGCCACCGCAGCATTGTTGGGGACAATATCGGACGCTGCACCTTTGCGAAGCTACTACAAGATGCGAGTGCGACTCAAAGCTTCGTTTCTCACGTGCGCCTGCGGCGCTTTCAGCCAGCCTTGCAAGTTCATTGCGACTGCCTATGAGCAGCGACAACCTTGGAAGTCTCAAGGGGGACTCAGGCCCATGCCGCGTTCGAAAGATACCCCGGAAGGCTGGCCTCCGAGCCACCACCACGCCCGAGAATGATGCTGCATCTACTGTCGCAGTCTATCATCTAACGGATACGAGGCACTCTCCTCCTCAGCCCACAATAGTACAGGAACAGAGTCCATAGTGGGCTCTATGATACCAAAGAATCCATCAAAGAAAACTCTCGTGCCGGGAGATGTACCCCGAACTTTGCCCAGTGTATTAGTGGCGGCTTGATCGTCGTCCGCCCCGTGGTCGCTCGAGTCCCCATTCGTATAGGCTTTTGCCTTGAGTATGTCTTCCTTGTGAGTGAGGAAGTAGACTGATAGTTGTTGGATGACGTCTGCAACTGTAAGAGTACCGCCATCTGTTCTGGTAACAAGTAAGGGCTCTGGTCGCTGATAGCGACGATTTTCCTCAAACCCAGGCTCGTCGAACTCGTCATCGCTGAAGCCTGTTTCAAGAGCTGCAAACTCATTGAGCTCGTCGATGCTGAAGGCTATCTTGGTAAGAGGAATTTCGGAAGCTGGTTCTGATGCGATGGCGTGACCGTCAAAAGGCGATAGGTCAGTCTTTGGATCATCGAGAACGAGGATGTTGGTGATGTCCTCGAAGACCGACCAGCGGAGACGCTCAAACGCTTCATTAAGAGGTATGGCTCCTCGGGTGTTGGTCAAGCTTCCATTAGGGTGATCGGGCAGAGGATCGGCAGCCATGTTGAGGCCAAACGCTGTTGTACACAATGCGAAGTAAATTTTGCGAGCATACGTCGGTGTTACGAGGTTGACCCACTCTGCTGCAAAGCGCTAAATCCCAAATAGGCTGCTAATCGGAGACGCCAAGCATCTACTACCCAACCCCAATTTTAACCGTGCTCGTCCACGATGCGCCAACCAACAAAGTAACACCAGAAGAGTCAGAAACGCCGCTTCGTTCACGCTAGAAGTCAAACCGCCTCATCATCAAGGAAGTATGACGGAGCCTAGGTAGCATAGGTTCACCTGGTCTTTGCCATAGTTCCGAGGTCGGACCTGTTTTCTTCATTTCCGTAGCGCTGTGGCCACCGCTTTCTCACATTAATGCCCCGAAATGGAAGAATCGCAGCCCTTGATAGTGGACTTGATTTGGGAACATGGCCAAGCCGATAGGGAGATGTAACACTACAAGCGATTGCTTTTTAAAATTGACATCCCCCGCTCAATCTTCCAACGCTTGCATTCAGCGTCTGTCTTGTCAATTCAATTCGTATTGTATCATGTATTCCCGCGATGGTTACACTTGGACGCCGACGTCTGGCCTGAAAGCTGGCGTTCCCTCCATTGGCGTTATAACACCCTCCACGAACATTTCGAACACTGACAACCTTTACGATGTCATTGTCGTCGGCGCTGGCTACTGCGGCCTCACAGCCGCCCGCAACGCTGCAGTCGAAGGATTGAATGTGCTGCTACTCGAAGGTCGGGATCGCATTGGCGGCCGATCATGGTCATCGAACATCGAAGGTTATCCATTCGAAATGGGAGGCACATGGGTGCATTGGGGCCAGTCGAACACTTGGAGGGAGATCGTAAGGTATCGGATGATGAATGACGTGGAGAAGTCGTTTGACTTCTCACATGGTGTTGATCACTACGAATTGAACGTTGGGTCTCAAGGCTCTACTATGAGCCATGAAAAGGAGGTCCGTTCCCAGTTGCCGATCTACAAAGAGGTTCTCCTACTGACACAGCCAAGGATGAGCTTCTTACCTCGGCGCTAAACAAGTTCACCAACATCGATGAAGCTCATGGAAGAAATGTAATGCCTCTACCATACGATACATTTCACGTCCCCACTGCAATCCAACTCGACGATCTCTCCGCTCAAGACCGCATCGATGAGATCGCGCCATCGCTATCCCCCCAGGAGCGCGCAGCCATCGAATCTTTTATCCTATTATGCAGTGGAGCCACTCTTGCGACTACGAGTTTTCTGGAATTCATGCATTGGTGGGCTATATGCGGCTATTCCTACGCAGGCTGCATGGACATGCTGATCACCTGGAAGTTCAAAGGCGGACAATCAAGCTTCGCAATCAAATTCTTCGAGGAAGCGCTCCTGACCAAGCGTCTCGCGTACGCTTTCAGAAGCCCAGTCGAGCACATCAAGGACACAGGCCTCAAAGTCGAAGTCACGACACGCGATGGACGCCAGTACCACGCAGCGCGGTTGATCTCAGCTTTGCCTTTGAACGTCTTAGGCGACGTGACTTTCGAGCCCACACTTAGTACTGGAAAAAGAGAGGCTATTGCGATAGGTCATGTCAATCAGACCGTCAAGGTCCATGCAGAAGTTTCGAACAAAGATCTCCGCTCCTGGACAGGCGTTACATATCCGCACAACGAGCTCATGTATGCCATTGGGGATGGCACAACACCCGCAGGCAACACACATATCGTATGCTTTGGCGGCAGCAACAAACATATTAACCCTGAGGACGACATCGACGCAACTAAGCGTGCAGTCACAAACATGTTTGTGCAACAAAAAGACGAGCCTAAGATTGAGAGACTAGTATTCCACAACTGGTCGAAAGATGAGTTCGCAAAGGGCGCGTGGTTCTTTTCATCACCTGGGTTCCTTGCAAAACACCTGGATCATATGCGTCAGAGGCATGGGAATGTGCTGTTTGCTAACTCGGATTGGGCACTTGGCTGGAGGAGCTTTATCGACGGTGCAATCGAGGAAGGTACAAGGGTTGCTTTCGAAGTGCGGAGAGAGTTGACGGAGCTCCGCGAGGCAAAGACTAGACTATAATACAGCGACGCCGCTATCGTGATCTGCACAAAATATTCAAACCCACAAATGCCATTCCACGGAGTGTAACCCTTGTGATTGCTCATTTTAGAAGGTACATCATTGCGTCATCGGTGTTCGGGCTGTGTTTTGATGGGCAGCAGGCGCGAGGATACCTAGGTAAGCTCAACCGCTGAGGACGGTCAAGGAGCGCAGTTTCAGTCGTTGCGCGCCCATAGCGTCGACAGGCACCCATTGTGCGATGAGACCGACTCGAAGAGTCTGTAAAGCCTTTGAAACCTGTGCTTCGGGCGCTTTACACCATAGCGTTCAACCGGAAAAGCGCGCGCGGGCATTAAAGGCCGAGACCGCAGGTCGCAGGGCGCCAGTCACGCCCTCTCGACACTGTGTATATCTTCTCTCGAATTGGGAAGTTCAATTCCGAATACCTGCAACTCCTCTTTGCGATACTTTTGTACCGAAGATCTTGTGCTCTAGCTGTGTAGGTATTGAATGATCTCAAGTGGCGATGCTGCGTGCGACGAGCTTTCCATTTAGCTCGGAAGTGATGGGCGGCGCAAGCGCTGAACTAGCAAGCGCCAACCTCGGTTCACGCTTTCGTGCAGCCGCACCTAGCTTTCTTTCCTCTTCTACCAGACACGTCTTCACCAAGCCCCGGAGCCGCACGCGATGCAGATATGTCAAACCTGTAAGCAGAATTGAACCTCCATGAACACTAGTGCACTAAGGCCAGTGTGAAGGAAGTGCTGCGACGGCTGTGGGCCTACGTTATGGCCAATCTGCGAAGTTGCCAACCCACTTGATCCGAGACATAAGTAAAAAGATGCCCGCAACAGCAACTACGCAGAAAGAGCGGGGCTGCTTCCAGTGCTCACGTCGTAGGATTGCCTGCGATAAGACTGAGCCATCATGCCTCAAATGTGCGAAGAAGGGCATTGAGTGCTCTGGGCTTGGCAGGATTCGATTTGCTGAAGGTGTGGCTAGAAGGGGCCGGCTCAAGAACTGCAAGATCCCCAGCGCTGGAGGGGATGATGGGTACCAGGAGTCATCGACTAATACCGGGTTTCAAGCAGCACTAGTCTGGCCAGGCGAGAAAAGAGCTAAGAAGAGGAAACGCAATGCGATTAAAAGCACCAATACGAAAAGACCAACAAGACCAATGTCCGATACACAAGAAGAACCAGCACAGGACGGTTGTCGAAGAACACTTTCTTTAGAGCCCGTCAGGAACGATGGGGAAGACAACCCTGGTGCGCAACACATCCGCCGGAGTTACGATTTAGTTGTGCCTGCGCGTTCCCATCAATACACTGTTGTTCCTTGGATCGCACCAATAGCGCCAACATTACGAATGCTCTTCTCATACTGTATGTGTGCTATTTTGGCTATAGTCCCAGATCTCGTCGACTGACCTTAAGATAGTCTCTGATGTCGTCGCTCCAGTTATGGTTGCGCTTGATGACGATACGAATGGCTACCGATCTCTAATCCTTCCAATGGCAATCGAAGATGATGTTCTGCGTCAGGCAGTGAGCGTTGTCGTCGCGCAACATCTCAGTTGTCAGCGACCCGAACTCCGAAAAGCAGCTGAGGCGGGACATGCCGCCATTATCTCGCGCTTGCGCAGCGACTCTTTGCATCAGTCTGCGGATGAAGTGTTCAACAAGTCCACGTGGGCTACTCTGATCGTGCTTCTGGTTGGTGAGACAGTGACCGGGAGTGCGGATTATGGCTTTCTCATCCAGATGCTGCTCAGCTTGTCCACGAGCAATCCTGGCCGAGACGCCGATCCTGTCTTATCAAAATTTTTGAAAGCGCAGACTCACATGTATGTGATCTAGAACACTACAGAACCGCTATCGCTTCTGACACACAACAGGTTTGAGCTGCTTGGCGTACCGTTGCTCGGCGAGGAGGCGGGTTTGCTGACGACAATGAGAGCTTCTGAATCTTTGATGGAGTGGCTATCATATACGCATCTCCAGGAGAATAGCGAAGATCGACGCCTTGCGAATCTGATACGGCGATGTTTCGTTTCCGCATGTGACATTTACATGCGATGCGCAGCCAACGTCGATACAATCCCAAGCTTCCATGACACGATACAAGCACACATGGTCCAGCAGCTCATCGGTATGATGTCGAAAATCCTTCCTGACGCGCGTGGCTCTCACGCCCTCGTCTGGGTGTGCTTTGTTGCTGGAGCAGCTTCGACTGATCGGAGTCAAAGGGACTTTCTCGTGCACCGCATGGAATCAATCTACGCACGTACGCAGTTTCGAAACATTCCTACTGCGATACAGGGCCTGCAAAATGTATGGGCGCGCGGGCACGGCAAGCGCTGGACCGTCTGTGTTCCTCAGATGTCGAACGTGCTAGTCATGTAAGGCATATGCATAAGCATCTATGCTTTTACATGCTACAAGTTCTTACTACGACGACGAACACACTACTGTATCTGCTGTAGGCTATCACGACGACCTGGATTGCTCCAGAGCGTAGCGACTTGTACAGTATCTATGGTCAAAACAGAAATGTCGACGACAGCTACGCGCGTTCAGAGCCGGCATGAGAACAAGTATGCGCTACGAGCCGACAACCAGGATGTCGGTTCACAACGCTCGCGCTACAAAGCAATGTCACATCCGCGCGACCATGTCCACGTGCCAGAACAAAGCGTTGCGGCCCGTGAAGGCCAAAACCACTTGCAGGCCGCGTCGTGTGCACTTCGAAACGACATTGTTGGATCCATAACCTGATATATCAACTTCGTGAATCGCCTGTGGTTTGTGATCTCATTCCTGTGCGTCGATTCCCACCAAGACTCCTTCCCTCCTAGATCCATCGCATATATCACCATCGGAAACATGGTGGTACTAAGTGAGGCTGGACCGGAGCAAATAGCAACGTAAGTCCCACACTCTACATGTAACGCCCCGAAGTCCTGGGCGACTAACAACTATCAGAGCCGCAATAAACCATTCCAACTCTCCTCTATTCAAGCTCCCCGGTGAGCTTAGAAACCGTATCTATGAGTACGTCCTCGATAGCGGTGTCACTTGGCACATCACCTGCCACAAAGACTATGCTTGGCGGAAAGTCTCACGTTATCACGACGATTGCGAATGTGTCCTATGCGGTGATCCGACAATTCGAGCTTTCGGATCTACCCTTCACCGGGTTTGTCGTCAGATACACCAAGAGACATGGTTCCTCCCCTACGCGCTCAACACATTCGAGGCGGACTACTATGGAGGCACGTCGATCGATGCTTTGGTATGGTGGCTACAACAGCTGCCGGAACCCGCAAGATCTGCGATACGCTCTCTCCGATTGAATGAAGGTCATTGCGGCGAGATCACGAACGATGTCCTTAAGACGACGTTCCCGGTATGGTGGACTCGAGGACACCCGCATAGAGAGCGTCGCGTTATGCGGATGCGAGGGCCTGTAGAGGGTATGCGTATGGTAGATGGCGTGGATGAATTGTATGCTCTCCTACCGGGTCTGGAACGCATTCATCTCATTCTCAACGTAAGCACATTCGCCGTCAGTTGGAATAGGCCAGATGACGTGGCTGTTCGGCGCGCCAAAACTATGGCCATTGCGAAGCTGCGTCCTGAAGTCGAGAGGATGTTTGGGCGGCCGAAGGTTTGCGTGAGTATGGATGTGCATGTACTTGTCGGATACGGCTGTGGTTGATGGTATATGGCGCTCGTCAGACATCGCGCGAAGCGATAGAGATCTTTGAGGGTTCTTTAGATTTATCATGATAGGTATGTTACCGGCCTCCAGGCATGGCTGTGGACTACATTGTGGAAACGAGTTATGCGAGTATGGGGCAGCGGCTGCGTTCACGACGACATGCCACTACGGAGACTGCGACTGGACTGGTATCCCGAAGTGAAGGCGGAAAGAGCAAAGCATTTACGTCACATCGTTGCCTGATCGCTCTAGGGCTCTCATGTCATGACCTCGCTTAGCTCTCAACGCTATCAACAACTCCTTGTAGTCGTCTCTTTAGCTATACTCTCACTCTCTACCCCCGTACAACGTACGACACTGCAAGACGGTCGTGCTTACCGATGAATCGCCTTGGAACCAGGCAATGTATGCGCGAAGGTCCACTAAGAAACAAATTGGCATTGATACTAACAATGCACAGTGCCCTGCGCAACCAACGCACCTCTCCGCTACTCAAGCGGCCCGGCGAAATTCGCAACACGATCTACGGATATGTACTCGGGAACCCACGGTGGTATGTCGGCACCTGTTACAAGAAGCGAGTCATAGAAGGCGATAGCATTGAAGTACCCCGACTGTACGAGGAGACTGCGCCAGGCCACTACAACTGGGTCGTTTCCTTCGTCCCGCCGTTGCTTAGCGTGTCTCGTCAGATACATTCAGAGACATGGCTACTTTTGTACTCACAAAGCACGTTCGTGATCGGTCGTCGACCCAGGTCGTTCTACTTATGGATTGCGTCACTACCTGACCTTCCGCGGCTTGCAATCATCTCTCTCGACCTGGGTATCTTGAGACTCCCTAGCCGACTTCAGGGTAAAGATGTCGTTATATACATCCACGACGATTTCTATCCTCGCACATCATCCCCTCGCCTCGAAACCGACCAGAGGCCCGCGAACAGCTCTTCCCCGAGACATAACGTCTTCGCCTCCGTGGGTGATATGTACGGGAAGCTTCCTAGCCTTAAGCATCTTTATCTCACGATCTACTGGGTGGGTCTATCACGTATCGTACAAGGCGATCATCAGGAGCTTGTTATAACATGTGATGGTAATGAGATTGAAGGTGTCAGGGCTAAGCTGCGCCTAGAGCTGGTGAAGACCTTCGAGCTCCCCAACGTACACGTTCACGTAGATTGATTCCACCACCGAGAATAAAGCGACAAAAATAACTGGGCGAATCTACTCAGACACGTGTATAGCCGTGCAAACACTGGCAAGGTCGCAGGGTCCCGTCGCCCGTCGTCCAGACTT